CCATGAGCATTTTGATGTAGTGTGGATCTCCGCCACAAGGTATCTCGAGCAGAGGGAGAGAGAAATCGATGAGAGCGGCACCAAACTGATTCGCAGCTTTGGGCCCAAGCTTTACACGGACTATCCTAAGCCTCCCGTTCGTCTCCTTCTCACAGATGGCACGAGTTGGCTTGACATGATCGACTTGGCAAAAAGGTATATCTCTCCAGCAGTGATCGATATTGAGGCATTGACTGAACCCACCGAGTATCCCTACCTCAGACGGGGAGTCTTCTCAGTGGACGGGCTGCCTACATTGTGGGAGGAGTTTTGCTCCATGGTTAATTTCCGTGTCATGTATCTTGGATGGTCGTGCTCGGAGCTTGCTGGCTTCAGGTGGTTCTTTGTCACGAGGCCTCAATCTCAGACTGAACGTGGGCGTGGGTCACAACACCAGAGATGAGCAGTGAAAAGAGAGAGTGAGAAAGACTGACCGTCACAACACCAGAGATGAGCAGTGAAAAGAGAGAGTGAGAAAGACTGACCAAAGGGATGAGTGAGGACTCTTGAGAGGTGTTGACCATGCTTGTTTATGTGTACTTTCTGAGATTATTACGAGTTCTCATTCTTCCCTCATTCATTTGAGCCTGTCATTGCTTGAGTCAGTCGGTGTTGCTTCTTGCATTAATCTTGCCTGATGATTGCTTTCGTGGATGATTCTGTCACAGTTCTCAAAATGAGATTAACATAATTGATGCATGCATGGCACCCCATAATTTTATGATTATTATTTGCATAATTCTCTGCTGTTCCGAATCAAAATAAAAGATTCCTAAGACCGGGGACCGGCGAAGACCGCAACTGAAGGGTCTCGCTTGAAGCTGAACGCACACAACAGGAAGGGATTTGCATTATTTAATTTATTGCAGTCACATCCAAAATCCTGCGTGACAGACTGTTGGCTTTCCGGTCGCCTGAAGCAGTCCGATTGGAAAAACTGCGACTGCTCGCGCGCGTGCGCGCTCGCTCGCTCGCTCTTGCCTTCGTGCACGCCAAAAAGGAAGCATGACTGTCCAGAATGTTTCATTGGAGGTTGAACCCTGACAGTCTGCCCAAGATGCATCTGAGTGCGTGTGTGTGACGTCATGTTCGCTTTACACAACTCCATAAAAAAGGTTCGACTATGCCAGACTGAACCAAGCACCGATTCCACGATGCACATAGCACCGTTACACTTAGCACGATGCACAGATTCCACGAACCAACCGCCGATGCACGTAGCACCGAAAGCAAACCAAGCACGTAGTAGCACGAAGTAGCACAAATGCACCCAGTAGCACCAAGTAGCACGAAAGTGGAACCGATGCACGAACCAAACATGACCAAGCACGAAGTACCAAGCACTGAGA